GGGGGGGCAATTAGGGGCGCCCCCCCCCCCCCGCTTATTCAGCCGCCGGCTGAGTCATTGCGATTTTTGGGGGGACCTTTTTTTCCCACCGCGTGCCCCCCCCCCCCCCCCGGTAAGAAATTCCTGGATCCGCCCCTGCATGCTACGCAATTGTTGGCGGGGAGATTGTCGGTGGAGCAATTGTCGTCGGAGAATTTGACGTCGGAGCAAATGTCGCGGAGCAAATGTCACGGAGCAATAATTGTTTGCGTTTTTTAAGCTGTAGATGTTGGCGGAACAATCATCGGCGGAGCATGTGTCATGGATTCGATTTTTTAACTGCGTTGTTACATGCATTAATCAAGCCTGTTTATGAATTTGTTTATCATTTTTGTTATTAGGGAATGAGACATTGTTACATTCAACTGGACATTCCTAGTCTTACAATATTGTTTTAACAGCTGGTTGACATAAGTCTTTCTTTCTATCTCTCTGTCTTTCTATCTCTCTGTCTATCTTTCTTTTCGCTTATTGGTTTCACGCGCACGCATGATGCCATAAGAAGGACCAATCTACCTCGCTCGTCTCTTATTTTTTTTGTTTAGGCAATAACCGTCGTGCTACAGACATCACAGATAAACGGGCTGATTTTTCAAATTACGGAAAGTGTGTGGATGTGTTTGCCCCTGGTGTTGACATCCCGAGCGCATGGATCGGAGGCCCAGAAGAAACCCGTATACTCAGTGGTACATCTATGGCTTGTCCTCATGTTGCAGGTGAGTACTCTTTAAAGGCCATCTGTACTAGTAGTTTAAAGGAGGGATTAGACCACCCTGCAAGGTCACTGGACAGGTGGTTATCTCATCAACTTAGCTCTCAATTAACATAAGCAAATGAGGGCCATGGGGGACCAATGGTTACCGATTAGGCATTTTTTTTTATATAGAGGGAGCAAGTAGCTACAAGTAGTACAGTGGGGCTTTAATCAACGACTAGTTCATGATAGACGTCGCCATCATAATCAACGTGATAAGAGTGGTGCTGCTGCAGCAGACTGCTGCAGCAACTGAAAAGAACATGCTCTAACCATATTATTATGTAAATAATATCGCTGCCGGTTGCTTGAGTCGACAGGGTGTCAATAGGCGAAACCGGTACCCCATTTCATCAAGGACACGGATTTACCCCAAAAAATAAGGCCACGTATACCTACTTTTCCCCCATAAAATATAAGCCCTTGATTTGAGCTTTGTCAACGACGAATCGTTTATTGGGCGAGAGTTTATTGAGTCGGCGATAGTCATTTGATATGTTTGTATATGTTAGATAATACTTAGTGATCTTTGATATCGGGCCCTTTGAAAGCATTTGAAATTCTCCGTTATCATCTGACTATCATATAACTTTATTGATTCTTGTTAGTCATAAGTCTACGTTAAAGATTTGTAAGAGTGGGCTCAAGTATGAAAAATATCTGATATGAGGAATGATTTATGATGCCTTCTATATCGTTCTAATTTGTGTAGAAAATATTGATGATGGCAACGTTTCTATGGTAGATACAATCATACAAGATAAGATCTTTGATTATCTATGTCACCTATTACGTGATATTGGAACCAACAAACCATCCTATAATGCAATTGTTAAACAGAATATAAAATTGTATTTAAACGGCAAAATCTGATTTGAAAAAAAATATCCACGAATTGCACGATATATCTTAACTGCTAATTCATTTGTTGTTTTTTGGTATTTTTGCTGAATACTACAGGGGCTGCAGCTATCGCACTAGGTAACACACGTGGGCAATCACCAACACAACTCAAGCAGGAGATCATAGACAACGCCACGACAGACGTCATTTCGAAAGTCGGACAACGTTCGCCGAATCGATTACTCTACGTTCCATAGAATACTGTAAATTCCGCCTGGATTACTATACCATAAGAATAACTATAATTAGTGATCACTGTGAGTCTTTGATATAGTATTTTAACAAAGCCGTGTGGATCATAATCAAATGATTGGCTGGGGTAGCTGGGGTAGCTGGGGTAACTAATGCTATACGCATTAGTTGAAATCCCGTGCATTATATTCTTCATGGAAAACAACCTCGTAATAGAACGACACATTTGGCATATACATACTGGCAAATTATGAGTTTCTTTCAGCAGAGTTAATTTCACTGATGCCAAAAGCCCACATGAAATGGAATATAATAGTCTTTATAGATTTATGAAATATATTTGCATGACAAATTCTGCAATTTACTGAATTTCAAATCAACAGTCCGGACGCACAATGTTCTGGGCTATAATTTTTTTTTTCTTCATATCTTTCCCTCCTGGATTTTATTTGTTTTCATTTGCAACAAATTAACAAACCTATTTTCTTCTTATTATTATATGAATAGATTTGCATGATAAATAGACAGAAATACAATACAAAAAGCACGGACATGAAGGTAAAGGTTATCAATAATAGGCTGTATTCTTCTAAGAACGTACATATATTATTTGTAAATGTCCTTGTGAAGTTGTCAGAGTCACTTTTATAACAAATTTCGTGTATTTAATATGTTTGTATCTCTAAATATGTTCCCTAAATATATACATTTTGTTTTTAAAAAAGCCTTTAATGTTGAATGGATAATATTGGTTTATATTAAATAGCACTACTTTTACACATAAAAACAATCAACAAAGAACAACACAATGAAATTTGTACTATATACCAATCAAATTCAAATTTCTCGACCTAATTCCATTCAATAATGTGAAACTAAAATAGGAGAGGTGCAATCATTTTTAGCCAATATTTTATTTTGATGAAAATGTCTTTGCTGCTTCAATATTGGTTTGCTCTTTTTTTATATAATTGCGTTGAAAAACAAGACTTACCGTAAAAATGTTTCCCAAGCGAAAAACAATGTTGGAAGACCAAGGCCTCTCCTTATGAATTTTTATCCTATCCAGAAAATGACGTCTATAAGCAAAAACAAATGGTCTTACTCCTAATTCAGAAAAAAACAAATACATAATAATGATTCAAATTTATAGATGGAAAGTGAGCAGAATAGTGAAAGTGAGAAAAAGAGGGGGAGAAAGAGAGAGGGGCTATTCAGTTAGAATAAAGGTGGAAAACGTGTAGTTGTACAAGTACTAAGCAACTTCCACAGAGCTGCAAAGGCAACCCACATTCTGTCCCTCTTCTTCTCTCTTTGCAGACATAATTATTAGAGATAATTATCTCCGTCTGTATATAGACCTTGTAAATGAGAAAAAGAGAGACCGACAACAAAAAGTAAAGAAGAAAATGAGAGGATGGGGAAAGGCTAAATAAAGAGAAAAGGGAAAGGAGAGATGAAAGATGAAAGAGAGAGAGAGAGAGAGAGATCGTAAGCTACATGCATGCTTAGTGGTATAATGTAATTAGTTTTGTGTATAGGCCTAGGGATGACAGTAAACAAGTTAAAACGGTGTGATTTTGGAAGCATCCGCAAACATTTTACTGATTTGAAAAAAGGGGATATTTATTTGTTTTTCATTTATTTTTTAGAGCAAGAGGTTCCACGCAAAATCTCATATTTTACGATGTTTGCAAACGAATGCATTATTTTCACCTGCTTTGTGAAAATAGAATGCTGCTGTGAAATGTGAATATGTAGGCCTATACGCGATAAGCCAAAATTATGGTTATATATTATTAACCCTGTTTGTGGTAAATATGGGGGTCATTTTCGATTCCGCTAAGAGGGCGATAGACAGACAGGCAGACAGAGACAGGCAGCCACACTGTCACTGAGACAGAGAGAGTCACACACACGCAGAGGGTCAGATAAAACTTCTTCTTCTTTTTCTTCTTCTTTTTCTTCTTCTTTTTCTTTCTCTTCTTCTTTTTCTTCTTCTTCTTCTTCTTCTTTTTCTTAAAAAAAACAAACACCTCTCTCGGCCAGAAGAACGTACGTGCAGAAAAGGCAAAGAGAAAAAAAATTATATTGCCGTGATGACGTCATTGCTTGGAACGAGCTGTACCTGGCGTGTCGAACGAAGCGAAGGCCAAAACCGCGTCTCGATTTTTGTAATATTGGTGGAAAATGCCCGTTTAAAATGATGAGTAAGTGCCAACCTATGTTCTGTTCATTTTGTTTATTTTATTTATTTAAAGAATTCAAAGAAAATATGAAAGCAAATGCATTTAACTCTAGCTCCACTCCGCCCTCCGTCGGTGTGTCGACACGTGAAGAGAGTGTAAGATTATATTGTAGTCCCGGATGCTTCAATTTGTGATGGGTAGATTATAGAAATGGCAAATGAACCTGAATTGTTCGCAACTGTAACCACACTTTGGACCCCTAACTCCGGCGTGGAGATACCTTACTATTAACACACCAGAAATCATCATATATATTCCACAGTTGTTCAAAGACTGGTCATGATTTAAAAGTTGTTATCTTTCTTGCCTGTTTCGTGTCAATTTTCTTCTCTTTTAAAAAAAGTATTTTCCTAAAATAGATAACGAAGACCATTAGGCCTACTAGTCTACACTTTCTCATAGGTTACATGGCAAACCGTTGCACAATTATAAGTGCATACCGACAGTGAGTGTCTGACAAGTGCGTGCGTAAAGTTAGCGACCAAAATTAGTAGGGCGCTGGTCTGAGAATGAGGATTATCCACATATTAAGGAGGATATCCTCTTAAACGTGGACAAATTGCGTCCTCAAAAATAAGGATCGTCGCCATTTTTGCTGACATATTTTGTCATCGGCACTCTCCCGGTTTTCGGGATCCTGAACTGCCCACAAGCGCTGCAAAAAAACAGATTCCGCATAAGAAAATAACCCCAGTCCACCATCTACTTTAATGGGTTGTCCGTCTTCCCGAGGATTTATCGCTCATGACGCGAAAGTCTCTATACAAAGTCAACGTAAATTGCATCAAGAAAATCATTGCGTAATCCGTTTTTCGCATCACCAACGAGTGGATCAGATATATGAAACTTATGTGAAAAATGAGGCAATCCTCATTTTTTGTGGACGAATACGAAGACAATCCTCGTTTATGCAAATGAAAAAGTACTATGAATTTGTTTGAAAAATAAAATCAGAAGTCAGTTGTCATTCCTGGCAAACGGTCGCTTTGTGTGCATTTCCTGGTCGGGGCATGCTTGCTCTAAATCTGTATTAATTGATGTATGCTAATTCAGTCATTAAACAAATTGGCTGGTACATTTATGATTTAGTTATTATTGCCTTCAATGTTTATGTATTTGAAAACAAATGTAATTAGACTATTCTCATTAATCTACAGAATTCAGATCAGCAAAAGGCTGAAGGAAATTTACTTTAAGGAATCTGCTCTCGACTCTCGTCTGTGAACATCTTTCAAGCAAGTCTGATCTGTGAGCGGAGAAATGAAGCATTTCACAGCAGCTACTATATTCAAACATTCATGGGACCAAGTCTCCTCTGCTTTCTGGCAGAAATATCCAGGACCATACAGGTATGTTATTAACCCAGTGACTACTGAAGTCTCTCTTTCCCATAGTCTAAATGGATCGCTCAGAGCCTCAGACACACACGTTGCATTAAAATATGTAGTCAGAAGATTAAAACTATCTTGTCTCAATTTTCAAGAGCTATCCATTTCATTTGACTTCACTTCTATGACATTTCTCCTCAATAGTGTATGAAGAAAATCATTGAAACATATTTCAAATTGTCTTATACTTTTACCAGGACTCATCATCCACATTAAGTGAAGTTGTAATTTTGGAAGTATGTTTTTGTTTGTCTTATATAATTGTGTCCTCGATACATTTAGCAACTTTTGCGTAAAAAAATTCAGTGTCTTTGCCCTAGTCATATAATTTTGGAAATTCTAGTGATAATGATTTGTTTGATTACAAGCAGAAAGTGGATCTGCAATTCTGCATATTGAAATCGGGGAACTATAAAAACCTTTTGTCAAGTAGATTTTTATTGTAATGTGTCGATTCCATGACATTTGCTCCGGCGACAATTGCTCCGCTGTAAATTTCATACACTAATCGAATGGCTAACTTCAACCCTGGATTCAACACTATACCCTACCCTAAACCTAACCCTAAACCTAACATAAAACCCTATTGAAACCCTAACCCTAACCCTACATCTTAGACGAAATAAAGCCCGGAGCAATTGTCGCAGGAGCAAATGTCGTGTCACCAATGTGTCACATTACATTAATGTCAAGGTAACATATTGTATATGTTTGTTGTTGTTTTTTCTCGATACGGTGTGTTTAAAAACCTGCCTTCAGCCGAAAGGCTGTTTTCAGCAAGCCTGTATACAGGAAACAACAACGTTACAAGAAATAAAATCAATATCAATTTATAAAATTATTTACAAAGAAAAAATATAAGTTATAATGAATAGATACCAGCTATATACAACTTGGAAGAAGAAGGAAAAAAAAGGAGAAAGAGAGCTAGTATAGTAGGGAAAATAGACGTTGAAGAAGGAAAACAGGATTAATCAACACAAAACGTATTTGATCGAATCACAGATATCTTTAGAAAGATGTGTTTGGATCCATTTGATAAAAGCTGGTAGTTTGGTTTGTGTTCTTTCAGTTTTAGGGAGGTTATTGAATAAGTGACTGGTAGTGATTACATGTATGTTGCTTTTTTCAAAAGATTGGTGTAGGGTTTGTGAATGCAAATAATCCAGGCAATATTTCTGAGAGAGTGTTGCGTTTGTTAAACTTCAAATTTTGATCTTAATACATTAAGGAACAGATTTAACAACTTGAACATAAAAATAATGAGGTCTTCTTCACCTTTACATTTAAACAATCTGTAGAAACGGTTTCATATAATTCATAAAGAGACTTCTACTGGATCAGGAATCCAACCAATCCTTTTTAGTACTCTGTCTTGAAAGTATTTGGAGCCTTTTCAGAGGCATAGAATCCAGTTTCATCCACACATTGTTACAATAATCAAATTGAGGGTGAATAATTGTTATGTATAAAAGAGTAGCGGTGGTTACTCTTAAGTACGGTCTTATTCTCCTCAGCATAAAGAAATTTATTATGACTTTAGATCAAACAGAATTAATATGTGGCTTCCATGAAAATTCCCTGTCAATAATTACCCAAATAATTTCATTTATTTACCTTGTGTAAGATAATCATTAGTGAATTGCAAAATAACAGTTCTATGATATTTATGATGTATGACAAGGGAATTTTTCTATTGTCATTTGCCTTATATCCTTCAACGTTCCTCAGCTCATTTTCCTACATGTACATGTAGTTCACTATTCTCTCTGATGTACAATCTTTGTTTCAGTAAACATGTGCTCTCTGAAGATGTAGTATCTCGCTACATTAGCCCAGACTGTAAGCTGCACAGCACTCGTTTACTCACCAAGACCAACCGAATGCCTAAGTGGGGCGGCTTTCTCTTTGGAGGAAACTCAAGATTTGTTTCTATCGTTGAGGAGAGCGTTGTGGATCCCGAGAAGAAGACAATGACCACATACACAAGGAATATAGGCTACCAGAATTTCATGGTAAGATTGAATGGCAGGTCATTATGTTATTCACAACATGTATGCGGTTCATGTCATGTAGCTAACTTATCCTAGTTGATACAATGTTCACAATACTGGAGGTTTAAATTCACACAACTTATTTTGTATTGAATATTATTATTACAATCTCACTGTTCTGGGTCATTACTTCTTCTCTTTTCAAGAACTGGGGCCTAATTACCAATCAGGCCGTAGAGTACCAATTTGTAAACAATAACAGAGAGAATAGAATAAATCGGTAGAACAAAATAACAAAGGCCTTGTCCTAAAACTTATCCAGATCTTTTCTTTTTTCCTTTTTTTTTCACATGTGAAATCTCAGGTCAGCATCGATACTCCCATGAAACTTGACTATGTTTTTACAGCTAATATATTAAATATAGAAGGCAATATATAGAAGGCTGAACAGTTAGAGTGCAAAATATCTAAAATATTTTACGTGTGTGAGTAAATATTCAGAGCATGTGAAGAAACTGTTACTGCAAGGTGTTAGAATTTGAGAGAGTACCTCACTCCCCAAATCAGAATAATGATTTACCCTTTATAAAGAATATAATAAAGTGAGGGAATTGAAGGACAAAAATGAAAAAGAGCAGGCAGGAGTAACTTTTGAAATGGCTTTGACAATGTTTTCTTTCTTTTTCTTTATTTTTATGTCTAGGTCCTTGAGGAGAAGTGTGTATTCTCGCAATCAGAAGAGAACAAAGATTGGACACAGCTAGAGAGACATGTGTGGGTCAACTCCAGTCTCTACGGCTTCTCCAGAGCCCTGATGGCTTTCGGTGTAGAGCGCTATAAAGCCAACCTGACCAAGTCTAACAAGGGCATCCAGTACATCGTAGACAAGCTGTTTGTGCCTGAGAAAGTACCTGATACTCTACCTCATGAGGTTTCCAAACTCAGAGACAATGCCAAAGCTAAAGCTCAGAACATGGCTGCCAGAGCTGGAGGAATGGTCCAGTAGTCGTGTCTTAGCCTTAAAGAACTTGGTCCAGCAGTCGTGTCTTAGCCTGAAAGAACTTGGGAATTTGGGACCCTGTATCATGAAAATCATCTTGAAAAGAAAAGAAAAAAAGAACTCTATCTCAATTTCATCAGGATGGTTTGAGAATACAAAATGAGATCTATGATACATCTAAATATTGCACCCCTGCTGCGCAGGTAAAGTATTTTTGGATGCATCGTAGAACTCACTTTTAAGGGATCTCCATACATGCTACAGTTGATTGTATCTTTCTGTCACAAATACTTGATCGTAAGTTGTTAATTGCAAAGATACGACTGATTGAAGGAGATGCCGTTTAGGGTTGACACAATCGATGGCAATCCTTTATGTTACAGGGCAATGATGAGATATCTACCTGTGACAATGATGACTATGGTCCTTTCATTGATATGCATGTACATCTGCACAAGTCAATGCAATCAGATGATTATGTATGATATGTATGGTAAAGACAAGACTGCTTTCTTGTAAAGCTCACCACATATTGCACGATCTGACTGCAATCCGTTATTGGGTGCAATTGCAATATCTCTAGAAATGACAACTTACGCATGTAAAAACCTTTCTAATTGAGGTTCATAATTAAGATTCCAGTAATGCCATTTCTATAAATTTCATATTGCAGATGGATTGTATAGTGTGTGGTGGGCATACATAGATGTCATTGAGTAAACATTCCACAATCGCTACAAAAACGATGATCATGGATGATAGCGGGTTGTGTCTCAACATAGTTTATAACATTTGTTTCATTAAACTGCAATATGACAATTGGAAATCATTACATGTTTGAGGGCTTTATGAACAAAGTGAATATATATTGCAGCTTTTTAGTGATGCCTGATCCACCAGTGGTGATGCGAGATGTTACATGTACATGTATGCTGGGCTGCACAGTGACGTTTCCCTGCAGTTGTACTTGAACCTGGGGTTCAGTGCTTAGTATATATGGGTACTATGTACACAGTACCACCCACTAGTTTGAGCCATTAAATCATAAAACGTGTTGGCATCTATCCAAAAAGCTCATCTTAAGAGGTGAAATATATTTAATTTTGACCGAATACTCTGGTTTATGAACTTACTTTAATCTTGCCTGGTAAAATTAGATATAGTAAAAAGAAATTTGTTCAAAAATGTTGAAAACTTGTGGTAGAAATCACTAAAAACCATTCTTGATACATGTTGTTGTGCGCATGGTGCCTAAAACAGTTTTCAAGGTAATCAACTTTGCTTTGTTGAGGAATGAAACATTTTTTAGAATCATTTTTAAAGACGACTTGAAAAGGAAAAGTTGTAAACCTGTGTAAAGATCACTGGGGTGATCATGCATGTTTGACCTTGCATCGACATTCCAGTGGGAAATTTATTCTTATACATACATACATACATAACACTCAGGTTTATATCTAGTTAGCTGATTTTAATTCTAATCCAGTGGTTAGTAAAATGCACGTGCAGGAAACTGTTAGACTGTCTTGATATTTATCTATTCTTTATTTTTTATTTTGTCATTTGTACCCATGTATCTTTCTTTTCCATGGGCAGCAAATCAAGATATTGTTCTTGTATATGTTCAAATGAACTAGCCATTTGTTCGTTCGTTTTGAAGTAGAAAAAGACACCTACATGTACACCAAATTTCACATAGAAAATATTTATAGCCAAATTTAACAAAGCAACAAGATTGTTTTAAGCCATAGTTGACTCTTGAAAGTATTTTAGAACAATTGCTCACAATCTTTGAAGCAGGCATGAGGTTAAACATGGTTGCAGATATTCTTTAAAGTTGACAATGTTGCTGTTTTAAAAGCAGACTTTGATGTAACACCAGTTAAGATGATGCAAACTAAATGAAAGTAATTACACATTGCTCTTCTTGGAAATACATTAAAGTAGTTTTTCGCCATGTAATATATTTAGCCACGTACTATGTCATTGGTAACTGTAGATAAGATGAGTTGCTTGATTTGCTAAATATTTTTATACTGGTATAGACAGATAACTTTAGTACTAAACTTTAGGTAAGGTACAATTATTGAGACTCCAAATCTATAAAAATGAATAATTTTTACTTGTTCTTTATTTGTTTGCGAAATCTATTTACCAATTGCCAAGTCCATGTGGAGTTATCCAGTATCCACATATTCTGATATCGCGGCATGCTACATGCAGAAATTCCAATCCAAAGTAATAAAGAATTTATCCACAACTTTATTTGTAGATAATAGAGATATTTTAAAGAATTTTTATTTGAAACTGAATAACAAAGTCCATGTATACCTAATTGTTTGATGTGGTAATTCTTTTACTGATCTGTTTTAGAGTGTGAGCATTTCACTGCTAGAGGTGATCATTACTGTATCATTATGTACTGGCAAGTCTATTATATGACAACGCAATTATTATTCATATGAGTTTATGGCATCGAAACCTGTTTTATTACTTTGGATCTATCGTTGAGTGGAATTATCCAAGAGGGTATTTTGTCATGTTTTAAGTTTTTATAATGAAAAGGGAAAGAGTAGGTTTTGATGTGGGTTTTTCTTTTAACATGATGTGTTCAGTTAAAGGAGATACATTTTCATTGTATTGTTCATTTGTGGTATTTTTTTCATCTTCAAAATTATATTTTGATGAAATCTGGATTTACATTTTGAATCTTTGAATTTGTTATTTTGCATTGAACAAGTCTGTAATAGAATTCAGAGTATTATATTATTGTTAAAGATGTACATCAGGTGTGTATCTATTACAAGGTGTACATCTATTACAGGAACGTTGATATTATATATGCTGCAAAATTAGTTGTATTATAATCTTTAAACTGATTTGATATGTTTTAATGTCTTTATGTAAAGAAGGAGTGTATTGTGTATCCATTTGTTCAGAGTATGTACACCTGTATACTTTTAAAAATCTGCAGAGAGAATTGTTAAAAGAAGTGCCTTTTGGCTAAACATCCACAAAAGCAAATAATAATAATTATAGTGGGTTCTTTGAAAGTGCTCATGTCTGTCAGACTCCACACTCCTGGCACTCCATAATTATTGCCCCTGCTTTAAAATGGCTGTCTTGTAGGCACTCTAGCAGTTCAATGACTTAAATCCTGCCAGGTGCCCATTTACCTCACCTGGGTCAAGTGTGGCAAATGTAGATTTTAATGTCTTGCCAAATATTAGAGGTGTTTTAAGGATTACTAAGTCCTTGATTTGAAAGTAAGGGTAGAGTTCACCCAAAGTTCATCCCTGGATGATGTGAAAAGGGGTATTTTTTCCTCAATGATTCGTCCTTGAAATGCTACCCTGTTTTACAGTCTGCTTTTCTCTCATTCTAATAGTGAGATTAATTGCATAAAAATGTTTTTGTTTCATGTTTAGTGGGTGATTGTGAACTCTAAAAATAGTCATGTGTTGTACAGAGTGGACACCCTTTGCTAGGAACTTTTTTTTCTGCAATAGGTAGTTGTCGAAAGAGTATATTGTTTAGAAAAAACAAGGAAAAGTGTATTCCTTTTTTTTTGCCACCAAGCCACTACTCTCCTCCGATCCTTTTTGTCAATTTCAGTTTATTTTGACACTCTGAATGAGATGTGTATATAGATGAAATACTTTATAAAGATTTATGGAGAACAAAGTTGGTCCTTGAAATGACCAGCCCCTTTGAGATAAAATAAAACTATAAAGATTCATTTCATAATGAATATAAATGTGTGTTTTTGCTGTATTTCTTGTGTCCATTGCCTCTAATATTAAGCCATTTTGAAGATAGCACTTGCATATATGACCCCGAAATATTCACAGATCCTTTAAACATGATGAAGTCCCACCTTGTGTATTGTAGAATAATCACTGCCAAAGTAATGGAGGTGCTTGTTTTAACTCTTTAAAAGAATACTTCCACCTGTGTATCATAGAATGTACTGCCGGTGGATAAATGATTAATGATTCCATAACTTTCCTGAACACGTATCTAGCAGTCGGTTCGATAAGTTTTATAGTTTTGTACAAATGGCCTTATCTGCTCATGCTCAGATATTTTACTCTGAAGTGACTTATCCTTGTGATGAATATATACCATGACCCTGTTTCATGAAACTTGCTATTAATAACAAATTCTAAAGTTATATGACAAATTAGCTCTCGATAATCAGATGCCACGATTTTAGTAGCTTATAACAGTTATGTAACTTGTTATTAATAACAAGTTTTATGAAACGGGCCCATTTTCATCCTCAACACAATCCTAAAGACTATCGAAAGACGAGGTAATCTCAATAGCCCTTTGCGTTACCTTTGGAAATGTGCAAACATGACAATAACCATGATGACGTATTATATAATACAGCTCTGCCTCTTTTTCTCTGTCTCCGCCCGTCTCTCTCTCTCTCTCTCTCTTCTCTCTCTCTCTCTCCCCCCCCCCCCCCCTCTCTCTCTCTCTCTCCCCCCTCCCTCTCTCTCTCTTTCTCTCTCTCTCTCCTTCTCTCTCTCTCTCTCTCTATCTCCCCTCTCTCTCTCACTCCCTCCCCCTCTGACTCTGTTATCAGAGCTGTCATATCCACACATCTAAATATTGTCGCGAAGTTCTGGGCAGGGGTGGGGGAGGAGTAATCTGACGTATTTCTATACTGGATAAACCACCTGACTTTTCGAGTAACCAGTAATTATTCAGCCTCTCATTTTAGCATACACACCCTCTACATTTCAAAATCATAACCGTCATGAAACATTTTAAAAAGAAGAAACAACCACTGAAAAAGTATTTGATATAGAATGCTGTCATATTTATATATTCTATTTATGAGGATTATAATGTGAATTATGAATAATTCTTACATAGAACGGTTTCTACTTTCACAAAACGCACTCATTGTTTACATTTATCAATATTTTGACCAAGTTCAAGCAGCTTCAAGTCATTTATCCAGGAAATAATTCATTTTTTCGGACAAAATATGCATATTATAATTACATGACATTAGCCACAATCCCTCTACATGGCTTCAGTTCAGACATTTTCTCGATTATATTTGTCTTCTCTTCTTTCTTCTTTTTTTAATTTTAAAGATTTGTCAGTAGTCAACACTTTGAGAGGAACCTAATAATACCACTGAAAATTTGCATTTCCTTTACACCAGAATAACATGGAAATAACATGGAAACATGAAAAGAAAAAATAATAATAGAATTTGCATTAATAATCGATGAGATTGCATGCCCCTACCCCATCGTGAAATTCGTCATCTATTTGTTATTCTTACATTACATAAACACAATACTGTAAAGACTTCCACGGTAATCATCAACATTTGCTTGTACTATTACGTCACAATCCTGTTCTTACCTTCAAAAACTGAAAGAAAAAACATAGAAGGACTTCAAAACATAACTTGGAAGACAATAAAATACCCCGTTGATACTCTATTGTGAGGTAAGTAACGTACCGTTTTATAAATAATGTCAGCCCTTTTGTGGACACAATAATATGGAAGGGATATTTTTACGATACTTTCTTGTCGAGATTGTGAGACTTTTCATCTGCATATTGTTTTCTTGGATAACGTCTGTATTTATCAGATTTATATGAAAACATGCGTTAGGCAGAATGCTCGACATTCTTCAATACGGAAATCTAAAAATAAAAAATAATAAAAAATAAAAAAGGTGCATCTGTCGTGAATGTCGTCATTATTTATAAATACAAAAATATACATACTAATATCAAGTTAAATGGTCAAAAACGAACAGTGATAGAAGTGAGTGCATTTGTTTGGCAAGCACAATATTCATATGGAGTTCATTTAAACAAAAAATTCTGTCGATATCATAGAAGTAAGAAATACTGATATACCCACCACAGTAGATATCAATACTACCCTCTACGTCTAGTTTTGTACCAATGCATAACGGGACAAAGTGTATGTGATTTTGGGGAAAAATATATCCCTTTGAAGAAAAAGAAGAAACAAAATATTGTCCATAAAAGTCATTCATGTCTTAATGACCCAGCATTCTGATGGTTATACGAAATAGAATATATTATAAAAAATATACTAAGTCAGCCTTTATTTGTCGTTTCCATGGAACTGCTTTACAACTATGAAGGTTTATGACTGATCAGAAAATATATTAAGTCGTCTGAAAATGTCCAAGCTTAGCTATAACATGACCTGATATCAATGTGATCTTGATTCTCTACCGACTCACAGTGACCCGATATCAATGTGATCTTGATTCTCTACCGACTCACAGTGACCCGATATCAATGTGATCTTGATTCTCTACCGACTCACAGTGATCCGATATCAATGTGATCTTGAGTCTCTACCGACTCACAGTGACCCGATATCAATGTGATCTTGATTCTCTACCGACTCACAGTGATCCGATATCAATGTGATCTTGATCTCTACCGACTCACAGTGACCCGATATCAATGTGATTTTGATTCTCTACCGACTCACAGTGATCCGATATCAATGTGATCTTGATCTCTACCGACTCACAGTGACCCGATGTCAATGTGATCTGGATTCTCTACCGACTCACAGTGACCCGATATCAATGTGATCTTGATTCTCTACCGACTCACAGTACAAGTTTAAGGTAACTTTGTTACGTTTAGAGTACAACACGGTTATATAAATATCATACGCAATATCGCATCGCTATTTGATCGCAATGTATATACAGAATACCTACATCATATAAATATTTATTTCCATATATCGTACTTTCATGAGCATTTCCCGTTCGATTCACTTTGTAAGTTCACAAAAATATACAAGAATTAAAAAAATTGATTTAACAAAATGAAAGTCCATAAAACAAACATATTGATTCATCGATGTTGTTCATATTGTGTTGCCTACGCCTTTTAAGTTCAGAATGACTTTGGTTTATATAATAAATACATCAAAAGCATATGTACATGCTGCAGTTTCATTTGTTAAAAAGACAATACTTTCTCAATTTGTGCGATAACTATATACTGGTTGTAACCTACATAACATTCTGAAAAGCATGTTATTGCGTCAACCTAACTCGTTCGTTAAAGAGAAACGCCGTAATGCAACGATCCTCGACTTTGTTACTAGATTTATTTTTAATTTCAATCTAAGATTTCATTAGAACTTGTTTTTCAAAATATGGCTGTCTTTTGTCCCCAAATCGATCTGTTCATTTCAGTCAATATGGTGAAATGATGATGATGATGATGATGATGATGATGATGATGATGATGATGATGATGATGATGTTGATGATGATGATGATGATGATGATGATAATTATTTTAATGTAACGATGTTATGTTCACAATAGTACTATAGGACTTAATATCGCATGACCAACATGACCAACTAACCAAGCAACGCAGACGGTTATCATTATGAGGAGGGACACCTGAAATACATTTAGATTAAGTACTATATAATTGGTTGACATAATACATTTGGATATGTAACACACAACTGGTACATTTGATATGATAAACAAATGAAATAATTTGGCCAATTTATACATTATCATAATGCATAGTACTACATATAGCTATTAATACTTGTTTTCATAATGCTGACTGACGAAACCTTGTACAATAATGAAAATAATCATATTTTCTCTTAGTATATACAAATTACAGGAATCATGATCATTACAGCATGTATTTGTTGTTCTGTGCGACGAGGGCTCTGTTCCGTAAAAACGGTAAAACAAATTTGAAAAGTGTTTTGACTTACTATTTCAATTAAAGGAATAATGCTGATCCCTTTTTTTTCATTTCCCTTTGTCATCTGTTTATTCAATGACGAAAAATAAATCAATGAAGATGGTCCTTTATTTTAAATGTCTAAGGGGGAGAATTCTGTTCCCACGCACCTCGCTGCTATTTATTCCTTTTGAAGAAATTACAAACAGTTTCAAGTTGAATGATTACGTTTGTTTAATATACACATGACTTGTGCGTCCAGCTTATTCAAGTATTCTGATGCATGTTGAAAGTAAAAATAAGATAAATGCATCCAAATCATTTATCTTTCATTTAGATAACGCCTTAACAGTTACATGATTTGAAGGTGATCCGTCTGGTTCAAATTCAAATTTTAACGTTTTTTTTAATTTTATTGAATGAATTGTGGATATCGAATTTGCCATTGTCAATTACCGTAATAACAGGACCAAGGGAATAACTTTTTTTTCCCGAAAGAAAGTACTGTATATAAAACTCATAAGGCACATGAATATAATCTGTGAAAGGAAAGAAACTCAATCCAATAATATAGGACCAACGCATGTTATCTCCTATAAACATCTTTTATCATGTGCACTGTAATTTACGGCACTAAACAAATAGACAATTAGTGAGTTGTTATGTAACCTCATAAAAGGGTGCATTCATTTCCGTTGTGATTCAGAAACATTCATAACATTATATTAATACAAATAATAAAATGCTTAGGTTGAGCGAGCTCTTAGGAGCTGTTGTTATGGAGGTCCCTTGTAAACTGTTTTAATATGATTATGAATCAATTTTTATTAAATAATGCTATTGTGGCAATTATATTATATCTTGGGATAATCATGCTAGATTTTCTGTTCTACTCTGGTATTGTGATTAATCATAACAGATCTTTGTATATGGTTTTACAACATCAACCATACATCTTCTTGATTTTGAAGGTTTTCAGAATCTTTCTATCAATATCTTTATATAAGCACACCAAATGGGTGGAAATATATGACCTATGTTGCACTGGAAGTGAAACAAATTTGTGCGTAATAATTTCATATTTCATTCTAATTGTTGGTCGCTGAGTTCAATCACATTGATTACAGTATTAAGCCTAAGTATGGACACGATCATATAGCCTTGTCACTAGACTTACAATATGCATATACCCGTTTGATATAAACGCTTATTTAACATTGATAAACAGAGATTATGCCTACAAACCTGTCATACATCCAGAAAATGGCGCCAATGTTATCACATCGTCTGTTCTGCAGGTGTGAGCATCGGCACCAAGTCTACAAAAGCAACCTCTATCTAGTAAAGATAGTACCATTGGTACGCCGTCTTACAATGTGACATTTGTGACATCAACCAAGGAGTCTATATAATATCTCCTTGCACAAACTATACACAATCTGATCATTAACATAATTATACAAGTTACATTTGACTAGTACCGTTCGTGTTCTTTCGACGTCAGCTATATCGGTGCACAGTAACGTCACTTCATCTATACCCGTTCCTTGTCATGTCATGACTATCTTTTGGCAGTAGAGTTTTGTCTTTCTTTCTTTCTTTTGAACCAATCGGCAGATCTTTTGTTACGTTCACATACGTTTTTAATCATCTCATCATTTCATCTCTAGGCACCACTGAGTATGCTACTGATGAAACCATAACCGATGACGATCGCGTGGTTGCATCACCGACATCAGTGACATCCGCAGCTTGTAGCAACCATTTGTTCGAAGTCCTTGATGACCACGTTCTTCTCCTCGTTCAAATAGAGCACCGAGAGACCAGTGAAACTGTTGGGTACACAGCAAGGACTTGGAATCCGTCTTCCATCTCTGCGTTTCATTTTCCTGGTATGTAGAATAGCTTGTACGGCAGCATGATTGGTCCCGTTGAAGTGAGAGTCGAGGGGGAAGGGGCAGTACCCTTCACAGAAATTGCTGTGGTACGCTGTTGGTGATAAACGGACAAAAAAGTGAAAGAATATTATTGGTTAGTTGAGACAACATTTTGTTTCAAATAATGAGGTATTTTCACCTAAATTCTGAAGTTTCCAAGTTTTCTTGTAAAAGATTTGTTTAATACATAATTTTACGTACAATTAATGACTAAAATCTAACAATTGGGGGAAGGGGAACCCATTAAAAAAAATGAAAAAATGAAGAAAAAATACACCTCTTTCGAGTGAGGTTGCTAAAAACTGGAAAATATCTATTGTCACTTTTAGGAATTTTCGATCACTGACTTAAGATATATTCTTTGAGTTGATTGTAAAACTTAACCAGTAAGATGGAGATCAATATTCGCTCCCATTCCATCGCTTCGCCCTTTCACATTAGTATTAACCCCCCCCCCCACACCCCCTCCTCCAGCGCTAACATCCGCCAAAGTAATCACGTGATCCTCAAACTACGTTACTCCTCCTTGTTCCGTGAACCATAGATTGCACATCATTTTACGACGGGAAAGAAGATAAACGGAATAGGAAAATATATTCCAGCGCTAATAATATACGTAAAGGTACCATTGAGAATTATTTATTGGTATACGTCATATCATTGATTGAGTAACTTATTTCAATTGAAGTCATTAATATTTCTATTTTTATCAGCTGGAAATGATGGCCAAACGAGTTTGTATTTTTGAGCAGCCTTCGACTGAATGAACAGCTATCCCCATCTTGTCAGTTTTCGCACCTCGATTTACGAATTTAAAACGTGACATCCCCACAGTGATTATTATAATGGTTTTCATCTCTCTTCATCATATATTCTTCATATGAAACAACATTCTGTCCTGGCTGTGTGAACATGTGATAGACGGAGGAAAACAGTTTTTAAAGGGGAAGTCCACCCTGATTTTACGTTGGGGTGTTTTGTTTCCTTTTCTTGTTTTCTTCTTTCATATATAAAAGCGGCATAATTAGAGATACTGATCAGCGAAAACTGAGGATATATTCGGTGAAGCATAAAAAAAGCGATATAGAGGTCTAAGGATCGATTCAGTCGATGAAAAAAAGCTTTGTAATTGTGTAGTGCGGTAACATCTTTCTATTATGTGATTGTGATATAGTTTTGTCCTATACATTGTGAAATATTGAATAAGGAATTGTGTTGTATTTATTTTTGTTTATCAAATGATAAAAAAAAAGCTTTGTTATAATTATGTTGCAGTTTTGTATAACTATGTTATGTTCGAAAAAGAATTGGAGTTTTTGAGAAATAAAATCAATGAATACAAACAAAAAAGAAATTGGCAACTCTGTGATTTACCTTTCGAGCATCTCTTCCATTTATTTTTTTTGCTTAGGCCTACATGAAATTCAGGAATTTCTGTTTTTTCGTGAAACATGTACCGTAGCTATATCATTGCATCCTTGTTGTACACATCTCCTCCATCAAAAAGCATTTCTTTGAACTTCATGAGAACAAAGAAAATAAAATTTTATGGATTTCTGACGAGCCATATTGGAATAAATGCTTGCATGGCGAATCACAGAGTTGCAAATGATGTGCGTTTGATCAAATAAAATTTTAGTTTTCATAACCGTCTTATCCTTTACTTGCTACCCCATATACCAAAAAGGGCAGTTGGTGAGTTAGTTATCTTTAAGGGCAGTAGGTGAGTTAGTTATCTTTAAGGGCAGTAGGTGAGTTAGTTATCTTTAAGGGCAGTAGGTGAGTTAGTTATCTTTAAGGGCAGTTGGTGAGTTAGTTATCTTTAAGGGCAGTAGGTGAGTTAGTTATCTTTAAGGGCAGTTGGTGAGTTAGTTATCTTTAAGGGCAGTAGGTGAGTTAGTTATCTTTAAGGGCAGTAGGTGAGTTAGTTATCTTTAAGGGCAGTAGGTGAGTTAGTTATCTTTAAGGGCAGTTGGTGAGTTAGTTATCTTTAAGGGCAGTAGGTGAGTTAGTTATCTTTAAGGGCAGTAGGTGAGTTAGTTATCTTTAAGGGCAGTAGGTGAGTTAGTTATCTTTAAGGGCAGTAGGTGAGTTAGTTATCTTTAAGGGCAGTAGGTGAGTTAGTTATCTTTAAGGGCAGTAGGTGAGTTAGTTATCTTTAAGGGCAGTAGGTGAGTTAGTTATCTTTAAGGGCAGTAGGTGAGTTAGTTATCTTTAAGGGCAGTAGGTGAGTTAGTTATCTTTAAGGGCAGTAGGTGAGTTAGTTATCTTTAAGGGCAGTAGGTGAGTTAGTTATCTTTAAGGGCAGTAGGTGAGTTAGTTATCTTTAAGGGCAGTAGGTGAGTTAGTTATCTTTAAGGGCAGTAGGTGAGTTAGTTATCTTTAAGGGCAGTAGGTGAGTTAGTTATCTTTAAGGGCAGTAGGTGAGTTAGTTATCTTTAAGGGCAGTAGGTGAGTTAGTTATCTTTAAGGGCAGTAGGTGAGTTAGTTATCTTTAAGGGCAGTTGGTGAGTTAGTTATCTTTTATCTGACTTTCACTGCACATGTCATCATGTTATGCTTTCATTCAAATCAACATGTCCAAAGATAAAACTCCCCCTTTTTTCAAAATGAAAAAAAAACAAACCTTTATCAGCAAAGCATTTGAAAACAAACAATAACTACAGCAAGATATCATAATAAAGGAATATCAAACTTCCTTCAACTTATGCAGTGGCTGTTCTAGAGGGGAGGGGGCTTGGGGCTCTACCCCCCCCCCCCCCAAAAAAAAAAAAAAATCCTATTAACAAAAAAATATATTAATAAAATGCTTGATTATAAGGAATTTAAACGGGGCACATGTAGTAGAAATTGAATAAAAGAACCCATAAGCGCCCCCCCCCAAAAAAAAAAAGAAGAAGAGGAACAAGAAGAAGCAAACAAAGAAACAAATCCAGAGTCGCTCCTGGAATGAAGATCAAGTTCGTAGTGTGGGTGGTGTATACACGTGGTAAAGTGACAAGAGTTGGAAAGCTTTCCTCGTGTTGGTGACGAGAGTGAGTGCACACAAGGGAACGTCTTACAGTCCACGTATTTCATTATTTATTCATAAGTAGATATGAGATGGGATCATATCACTTTCAGGTCATTACGTAAACACTACTGACGATATGGAGAATGACGTTATACAGTTATAACAAGTTATTCACATTTGTTTTTTCTTCTTCCTGAAGTTGCGAAAGTTTACCGGCACTTTTGAAGGCGTTTACAGCTACATTTTTTCACATTTTCAGATATAAAAGGTAAGATGATATAATGTATAATTATTTGTCTATAGTTTTAATACATTGATGTCGGAATAACTTTTTGTCCCTTTCGTTGTATTTTCATTCTTTATTCCTATCTTCGCTGATGTAATCAGAACCACCCTCCCTCCATTCACAGAGTGAGTTAACTATCAGCATGAAAATAACAGGATAAGTGTTCACACACTTTTGGATTTGAAGTAGTAAAAACCTATGGAGAGAATTTTGTGGAGGTGAAGATATCATTAGGAAAGAGAATCATGCGAAAGTATTTATAACATGAAAATTTTAAAAAAGAATGCACAAACTATCGCTATAGGTGGTCAAACCCTCGAATCGAAGAACTGTAGATGAGATCAGAAGAGACGGCAATAGAAATAGTTGCAGCTTACTTTTGTCTGAAAATGGACTTTGAAGGTAAGGGCTTCATCTACGACAATAATGGAATCTATAAGCTACAAGCTTTTGGGAACAAACAAATGTTTAAACTTCATCACCCCACAAAACCGTATTATTCCGTTATCCAACGCAGCTCTATAATGGAAAATAATAATTTTCACATGCACTGCGAAAGAGAGGAAAGAGATAGAAGAGGGCTGGGGAGGGGGAGGGGAGGAGGAGGGGGAGGAACAGGAGCAGGACGATAGAGAGAGGAAAGAGATAGAAGAGGGCTGGGTAGGGGGGAACAGGAGCAGGACGATAGAGAGAGGGCTGGGGAGGGGGAGGAGAAGGGGGAGGAACAGGAGCAGGACGATAGAGAGAGGAAAGAGATAGAAGAGGGCTGGGTAGGGGGGAACAGGAGCAGGACGATAGAGAGAGGGCTGGGGAGGGGGAGGAGGAGGGGGAGGAACAGGAGCAGGACGATAGAGAGAGGAAAGAGATAGAAGAGGGCTGGGTAGGGGAGGGAGGAACAGGAGCAGGACGATAGAGAGAGGGGAGAAAGACAAAGAATTGTTCAAAGTAGGAAGGGAGCGTAATAATAACAGCAATAATTATAATTATAATAATGATAAGAGGAAGAATAATAAGAAGAAGAAGAACTAAGAAGACATTTTATTTTTTTTACATTTAATTCAAAACATAGATTGAAGAAAATAATTTGCAAAGCATTCAGAAGGAAGTACGGGCCCCATGGTGTAATTATATTTGACATAACGGTCTGATGTGGGGGCGTTGTAACGATCTTGTATTAAAGTTTTATCGAACATTAAAACGATGCGTAGGCGTGCTAGGCGACTGGTGCCTAGCCCCAGGATACTGCTGGCTCGTATCAAGCACTATTTTATTTTTTTCACATTTCCTGGTCAACTGTCTATATGTCAACTATTTTAAACCGTTTCTATTTCTTTTTTCGCATTACTGCTATAAATTGTCTTTATTTAGATGTAAACAAGGTATAAACACGGACCAGATAGGTGCCGTGAATTTTTCCACATGAAGGGGAAATGATTTATCTGCAAAGGAAACTATACACTATCGGTTATCAACCTATTATTATCAAGAACATCAATGTTGCAGAAACATGGTTTCATGAAACATTGTTCAGGAATCCTTAGGGAAGTTACTTAACATTTTTAAGATTCAGGGTGAATGTCATAACATCAGACCAACAAGACAGAAAACATACAAGCATCCAGGAAAATAGGCTCAAAATCCATTTGACAAACGCCTGTATAATTACTTAAATAAACAGTGGTAGGGATATTTCACTTTAAACAATTACCATTTTTTCGGAAATTCACTTAGGACATTTCTTGACATTTTCTTG